AGCTGTTTGGGAAAGAGCCTCAAAGCACAGACTCTGCTGGGAGCCATTGGTGCATTTCCTCCCTCCCGGCAGCAGCAGCTCCTGAGCCCTTCACGGGCTCCTGGCCCTTCCCAAACCCTTCAGCTCCCTTGCAACTCTCAGCACTCACTAACATATGTATTTCTTTCATATTTAATCTGCATTTAAACTTCTCTTTTTCTCTCCTCTCTATCTTTTTAATCTCCTCTTTATCTCCTTTAATCCCGTCAGCACCAGTAGGATGGGGATGGAGTCTTGGGGTGGGTGTGGGATGAACTGAGGATCCAGCAGAGAAGGGCAAGGCAGAGGGGAGAGGACTCAGCCAACCCTTCTCCTGCTCTCTCCTCCCCCAGGCTCCAGCTAAAGCAAGTCAGACTGGAAAGGATCCCACAAATGCTGTGTTCTCCTCCCTCTGAGCTTGGCTGGGGATCCTCAGCTTCAGCCTGGTGCAGTGGCTGAGATTTGCTAATTTGAGTTTTTTGGCTAAAGCACTAAATAATGTGGTGGGTTTAGCGCTGGCTGAAATCTCCAGGGCACTTACTCATTTCTCACTGTGAGATATGGATTAGGAGAAGGGCAAACCAGGCTTAAAAGTTAGAAGGAATAAAGAAACTTTATTAACAGGACTACAAGAAATAAGAAACCAGAATAAAACCTCCAGAAACCTTTTCTCTCCCCAACCAACTTTTTCCTTTCTCAACTGACAGTGTAGGGACAAAACTTGGGATGTTAATGCAGTACCAACTATACGATAGCCTTTTCATCAGTATCTGTAGGGAGAGGAGTTTTCTCTTGTTATTCCATGGAGAGTTGTCCACAAGAAAAGACTTTTCTTGTGCTTTTTCCTTTCTATGAATATCTGCCACCCAGGGCAAAACTCTGCCTCCATGCCTTCCTCCCATTTCCACACCACTCTGAGGTGTCTTCATGGGCCATGAACTCAAGGGGTATTATTTTAAGGATTCAAGAGTTATTCTCTTCATCTGTCTTGGTGATCATCTCTGGGAACAGAAGTTTTCTTCTTCTCTCCCTGGGGACAAGAGTTATTCTCTTCATCTGTCTCTGTGATCATCTCTGGGGACAGAAGTTTTTTTCTTCTCTCCCTGGGGACAAAGGATCTTCATCAGCTCTCATCTCTCTCTCTCTGTTCACGCATCTCATGGGATCACAGATACTCCACCACCTGCTTGGCTTCATCAATGGATACCTTTGCTCAGATTTACACTTTGAATCCTTCATTCTCCCCAATACTCTTTCATTAATGAAAGGAGTTATTTTTCAGAACGTTATTGTCCATC